CGCCTCCATCAGCCAGCCCGTTGTTTGAGGGCCCTGCACTGGGAAGTCCTCGAAGGCCTTCCCCGAGAAGGCGTCTCGAGCGCTCTGACAGAAGCGAGTCCTCTCGCCCCGCGGGCTGTACTGCACAGGCAGCGAGCGCACGTCAGCATCCCCGCCACCCCTCTGAAGTAGATCAGCGACGACAGCCTCGGCCTCGCCATCTCGAAGCAGCAGCTCCGAATGTCCGCCTGTGATACACTCCTCATTCATGCCGACCGTTGCCTGCTCGTGCGTCCGCTGGCCGATCCCGTCCGTGAGCAAGTACAGGGAAGTCCCTTGCGTCGCCATGTCCAAGCCATTCGGGAGTCCGCGCGGCGTCGGCAGCCCTCCGACGGCCTCGCCCTGTGGCAGGTCGCCCTCCGCACCGATCGCCCCAGGGAGGGGCGCGTCAGCGAAGGGCGGGGGCTCTGCCGCTGGGTACTCGCCGACCTCGAGCCGCCTCGCCGACCGCCGTTCGGCCTCTGCCCGAAGCTCGCTGCCCTTGGCCCCGTCCCCCGGGTTGAAGTGGTCGCGCCGCCTCGGGTATGACGTCATGGGCACACCGCCCTGCGGCCCAGAGACCAGCAAGTCCTCGATGTCCACGAGCTCCTCGCCGTAGCTATCACCGTCAGGGGTCGCAACGATGACCCCCGTTACGTACACATGCAGGCACAAGCCGAACAGCACCCAGGACATCCGCTTCGCTCGGGGCTTCTCCATGTGCTCCTCCATGACTGCGCGATCTCAGGCGGCCTTGACGTCAGCTGTCCGCGCGTGTGTCTCTCAGAGATGGCCTTCGGCCTCCACACCAGCCTGGGCAGCCAACCCAAGATCGCCGCGCAGCCGAGGATCCCGATGAGCACGGACTGCCACCAGGCCCCGCTCTCGGCGCAGCGACAGGTGCAGCCGCAGGCGGGAGCTGGCTGCAGGGGCGGGTGCAACCAGCTATTCCACAAGAGAAAGAAGTTGCCGACTGATACGAGGCAGGTGAAAGTCTCTGTGAGCATCCTCACTCGGCAAAAGATTTCTTGAGGAGACAGTGGCCACGGCAAATACATTATCATGCAAGAACTTACAAGCTAAACCACTAGCAGCCAGGAGGAGGGATGATGAGGAGGAGGACGAGGTGGACAAGGAGCAGGAGCAGGGACAGGAGGGGGGTCAGCAGGAGAGCGGCGAGGGGGGAGGGGGAGGAGAAGGGGGGATGAGGAGAATGAGGAGGACGATGAGTGGGAGAAAGAGGATCAAGCACATGGGGCACGAGCCAGAGGGAGGAGGCGGAAGAGGTGGAGGATAACGGGGACGAAGGAATGGAAGAGGAGGAGGGCCCAAAAGAGGCACCAATAAGGCCCAACATAGGCACAAGATAAGCTCCAAGAGGGACTCCTACAATACCCCAAGATGGCTCCAAGAGAGGCCCAAGAGAGGCTCCAATGGAGGCTCCAAGAAAGGCTCCGCTAAGGCCCCAGGAGGGCCCAATCAGGCCAAATAGATGCACACTGGAGGCCCCAACATGGCCCCAAGGAAGGTCCCAACAAGGCCCCAAGATGGCTCCAAGGGACGCCCAGGAGAGGCCCCAATAGAGGCTCCAAGATGGCTCCAAGAGGGGCTCCAATAAGGCACCAGAGGAGGTCACTAAGGCGCAATATCGGCTCCAATAGAGGCTCCAACAATGCCCCAAGATGGCTCCAGGAGAGGCCCAGGAGAGGCCCAAGAGAGGCTCCAATGGAGGCTCCAAGAGAGGCTCCGTTAAGGCCCCAGGAGGGCCCAATCAGGCCAAATAGAGGCACACTGGAGGCCCCAACATGGCCCCAAGGAAGGTCCCAACAAGGCCCCAAGATGGCTCCAAGGGACGCCCAGGAGAGGCCCCAATAGAGGCTCCAAGATGGCTCCAAGAGGGGCTCCAATAAGGCACCAGAGGCGGTCACTAAGGCGCAATATCGGCTCCAATAGAGGCTCCAAGAATGCCCCAAGATGGCTCCAGGAGAGGCTCCAATGGAGGCTCCAAGATGGCTCCAAGAAACTCCATTAAGCCTCAGGAGGGCCCATTCAGGCCAAAACGATGCACACTGGAGGCCTCAACATGGCCCCAGGGAAGGTCCCAGCAAGGCCCCAAGATGGCGCCAAGGGACGCCCAGCAGAGGCCCCAATAGAGGCTCCAAGATGGCTCCAAGAGGGGCTCCAATAAGGCACCAGAGGGGGTCACTAAGGCGCAATATCGGCTCCAATAGAGGCTCCAACAATGCCCCAAGATGGCTCCAGGAGAGGCCCAGGAGAGGCTCCAATAGAGGCTCCAAGATGGCTCCAAGAGAAGCTCCATTAAGGCCCCAGGAGGGCCCAATCGAGACAAATAGAGGCACACTGGAGGCCCCAACATGGCCCCAGGGAAGGTCCCAGCAAGGCCCCAAGATGGCGCCAAGGGACGCCCAGCAGAGGCCCCAATAGAGGCTCCAAGATGGCTCCAAGAGGGGCTCCAATAAGGCACCAGAGGCGGTCACTGAGGCGCAATATCGGCTCCAATAGAGGCAGCAAGAATGCCCCAAGATTGCTCCAGGAGAGGCCCAGGAGAGGCTTCAATAGAGGCTTCAAGATAGCTCAAGAGAGGCCTTATAAGGCCCCAGGCGGCTCCAATCAGGGTCAGTAGAGACACAAAAGAGGCTCCAATATTGCTCCACGAGAGGCTCAAATAAGGCCCCAAGATGGCACCCAGAGACGCCCAGGATAGGCCCCAACTGAGGCTCCAAGATGGTTCCAGGGGAGACCCCAATATGGCCTCATGGGGAGGGCACTAACCACTAAGGCCCACTATCGGCTCCAAGAGAAGCTCCAACTGCTCTGGAAGGACGTCCCTGCGAGGGGACGGTGGAGCTTCTGAGCCCCCGAACCCGCGCCTATGCAGGAACAGGAACGCAAAAACTGCTGTCATGCTTTTCCTCTGCGCGACATACAAAGGCACACCAGGGGAATGTTGGTTGTTGCTTTTCCCTCGTGCAAACGGACTACAGCGTGCAGGAAAAAACAAAGGGAGAGGGGGGGGGGGAAAAAACACACACCTTCAGCTGGAAATCCTACATTACACATTTCCCTCTCTGGAAACCACGAACTCACGAGGGGAAAACATGCAATATAACAGTTCCCTCCCTGTAGCTAGCGAAAGTACAGGGGTGCCTGTAATTGCCACCCCAGTAACGGATGTTGGCAGTTGGGTAGAGACAGTTTCCCTTGGGACCTCTTTGCGGCCGCTGGCCTCTTGGGAAACTCGGGCCTCTTGGGGCCCGCGCTGACCTCTTGGGACCTCCTGGGGGCCTCTTGGGCCACCCCGCTGACCTCTTGGTGCCTCCCGCTGGCCTCTTGGGACCTCTTGGCTCTTGGTGGCCTCTTGGGACCCCCGCTGGCTTCTTGGGGCCAGTGATTTCATGGGGTCATTTTCGGGTGATGCGGGGCTGGGCTGGTAGATCGTATGCGGTTTCCAAGGAGGGGGCCCTGCTGGGGCCCATGGAATTTCCCCATGGACGTTCCTGGAGCGTTTCGGGGCTTTCGGGGAACTCCGGCTTGCCAGAAAAAGGCCCGGACAACCGGCTATATCTAAGGTTTTGTTTGGCTGCGGTTTCGATCATGTTGGGGCTCTTCTAGGAGGTTATACGAGGGCCCTCTCAAAAGTTAGCTCGTTGAAGCATGCGTATCGCAGTTTTTGGAATGTGTTCGACGGTGCATCGTGTCTTGGGCAGTTTGGGCATCCCGCGGGGCTCTTTCGGCGTATATGTTGGAGCCTTATATTTAAATGGAGGGGGGCGATAATGCGGGGGGGTGAGTAAGCAATAAAGGGTTACGTTGTAAGGGTTAGGGTGGAAGGGTTAGGGTGTTAGGGTGAAAGGGGACAGGGTGTTAAGTCTATGGTCGAAGGTGAGGGGTGAGAAAGGTTTAGGCTTTGAGCTAGTGGTAGGGTGTACGGGGTTGGGGCCAGGGTTACGGTGAGTACATCTTGGAGCCCTTAGGGTTAGGGTTATCTTAGGGTGAAGGTTAGGGCTAGGGAACCTGAGTGTTATGGGCTACCTGAGGGTTAGGGTTAGGGTTAGGGGTAAGGTTAGGGGCCCCTAGGGTAAACCTGTAGGGTTAGGGGTAGTGTTAAAGGTAGGGTTAGGATTAGGGATAGGGATAGGGTTAGGGGTAAGAGTAGGGGTCGAGTTGGGGATCGGGTTGGGGGCTTTTAGGGTTAGGGGCCCTCAGGGTTAGGGTTAAGTTTGTATCAGGGGTAGGGTTAGAATATCTTGGAGCCCTTAAGGTTAGTTTTTATCTTAGTGGTAGGCTTAGTGTACTTTAGGTTAGGGATTATCTTAGGGTTAGGGGTGAGGGAGTAACTAAGGGCTATGATTACCTTAGGGTTGAGGTCAAGGGATTACATCAGGGTCAGGGTTATGAGGTTATCTTAGGGTTAGGGTGAGGGTTAGGGTTCGTATATATTGGAGCCCTTGGGGTTAGGGTTACCCATGGGTTACATGGGCACATTCTGTATCGTAAGAACTATATCCTGCGGGCCGTCGGGGCATTAGATCGTTCCGGAACCCTGGCAGCATTTTGGGACAAAGGCCCCTGATAAGTTTGAGGAGAAATTAGCGCGCGCATCGGCAAGTGCGTTTGCCTTGAAGAATTCATAACAGGGGCCCCCCAACAATTGCAATAATGCCTTCAAATTGCTCGGGTGCCCCGGCGGGGCGGCTTCCGTGATTCAGCGAGGTGGCTAAGAGGTAGCTCGGACATCGGCGCTTCTTCGCCGTCGCATAGCATGTTATATCTAAGGCGAACTAACGAGGTACCTATGGGAAACGGTGCATTGTGATCCGTGGCGCCCTCCTCGTCGTCCTCCCCCCCTATCCCTTTCCGTGACCGTTTTGGCTGAGTCGGGCGAATGTTTTAGGTGAAGTCGCTAAAGTTGGACATGCACTGAGGATAGTGTACCAAGCGAGTGCACAGAGCAACGTCGGATGGCTGGCGCTGCAGCGGCCAGCGTTGCGCGGGCACCGCGCAGAGGTGTCAAGTGCTCGTGCTCCTCCTGCGAGACTCAGGCGCCGCTCTCCCAGTGCGAGAATTTCGGAGACGTCTTCCTCTGCATGGAGTGCGTGGACTTCGGCGACCAGTCTGGATTCGAGCTGCGAACCTTGGCAGCGATGAAAGCGAAGTCGCCAGCAAAGTGGAAAGAGAGGAAAGCGCAGAAGGAAGAGTGGGCCATCGGCAAGAATGCCCCAGAGTACGAGAGGGAGCACCCCCAGGAGGAGGTCTACGAGGAGACGGTCCGGGAGAGCTCCTTGTCAGAGGAGTTCACCTTCCAGCCGCGCGACGACTTCAAGGGCGAGTGCGGCTGCTTGCCAGACCAGGCGAATGTGACGACGTTGCGAGTGACGAACTCTAAAGGCGAGGACACTTTCGGCGTGGTGCTGGCCGATGAGACGGCGTCGCCTCCGAAGCTGACGGTGACCGCGACGCAGAGGAGGCTCATCAAGTGGGCGCTCACCCTCGTGAAGGGCCGCAACTACTACGAAGCTCAAGCGAGCAACATCTCCGAGAACACGTCGGCTGAACGATCGCTGGCGCACGAACAGATGTCCGGGGGCAAGTGCCAGCCAAAGGTCAAGAAGTTCAGCGCCTATAGGAAGCACACGATCAAGCAGCTCGTGAAGAAGAACGTCGGCAAGCCCAAGGGATTGCGTCGCATGGTGCGCGACGGCGAAGTTGCAAACGAGTCTGGTTCGGAGGCGGGGGCCGTGACGTCCGAGGCTGAGGGGGGCGAGCTCGACCAGGAGCCAGCTGCAGGCGCAGCAGGGCAGCAAGCTCCTCCACCGGCCAGGGATGGGCAGGCTTCGGCGTCGGCTGCGCTCCAGCCCTCAGACGCGCCAAAGACGCCCAGGGCACCGGGGGCCTCATCGGCGGCGGAGGGCTCCAAGACCAAGGAAAAGCGCGCGCCCGATTCAGAGTGTCCGAACCTAACGTTGGCCCCAAGTTCGAAGAGGCCGAAAGCAGGCACGAACGTCGCGTCGTCGCTTGCCGAGACGGCGGCCACGGCCTGGGAAGGCGAGAGTGGCCGCCTTAAGCCGCCCGGGCACTGGCGCGAGACCCTCGCCCCGTCGAGAGTGCTCGCGGGCGCCCCCCTGAAGAGGCACGTGGGCTGGGCGAAGGATCGGGTCAAGCGCGTCGCTGGGGTGGGCGAGTCGGTGAAGGCCAACCACTTGACCGAACGCTCAAGTCCATCGGGCTGCGCACGCAGCTGATGTTTGAGCTAGGCAATGAAGAAGCGACCATCGCTGGCCTTCGCAGTATCTAGGAGAACATGGCGGCGACCAAGGTTGACTTCGATTCGGTTATCGAGGGCAAGCTCTTGGGGAAGAGATGGGCCTCACCTTTTCTTGCCTTCTCGAATGGAGATACCGACGACGCCTGCGTCGAAGAGCTCGCGGAGACCACGATGCCTTCCGCGGCTGGCAAGCAGGAGGCGAGCCAGGGGGCAAGCTGCGACGCCGACGGCGACGAGGCCAAGACCCAAAGAACCAGCGAGGAGTTCGATCCCATGGACGTGAGCATGGCGACCACCGACGGCAAGATGGGATCCAGGATGCCGTTGCTCCTGAGCGTGCTCCTGAAGGAAATCGCCCCTGCGGCGATGCAGGTGGGCGGGGCTTGCCAGGTAGCATCGTCGTGCCTGCGCGCAGCCATGCTCTCGATTTGAGGCAGGCGTCGCGGAGATGGACGAGATCCCTTCCTCCGCAAGAGACACGCTGGGCGCGCTTCGCGTCACGTGCGCCCTCGGCAACAGCGCTGCCGAGATGAACTCCGATGCCTTGTGCGAGTTCACCAGCGTGCAGCCCGAGAAGGCCAAGGGCGCCCTCGCGGACCTGGGAGCGACGATTCGCATGGATGAGCATTGGACTAAGACCTTCGAGGGGCTCCACAGAACCATCCAGGATGCCAGGGAGCGGATGCCGAAGATCTTCACGAGCGCTAGCCATAGCAAGGCGCTTAAAACCAGCGTCGCTCCCAGCAATCTGCCAAGCGCAATCACCGACGAAGCTTTCGACACCCTGAAGTCTTGCCGACAGATCCTGAGAGCAGGGAGTGCGCGCGTTCTGGGGATCGAGCGCGCTGGGACCCTCGGCGCGATCATGGAGCAGATGTTCGACAAGAACGGCGCGGTCAATGGCGGGGGCGGCTGCAGCAAGGGCGAGCTGATCGCAACGGATAAGATGTTCAAGGACGGCATGGGTCTCAAGTGCTTCGTCGAGGAATTCGGCACGAAGGTGAGGGAAGGCATCGCCACCGTGATCGAGAGGGCAGGTGCGAAGAAGATCATGCGCGGGCTGACGGGGAAGATGACGGGTGGCGCCAAGGCCGAGAACACCAACGCCGACTTTGAGCGCGTGCGTGCCGTCGAAGGCGCGCTGCAGAACATCGGCGGGGGCTCTCGCGATGTCGGCGGCAAGGCAGCGGCCCTGTCCTTCTGCAACAACATGTGGGGCACTATCAAGGACGAGGCGAACGCGACCAATGGCGAGGTTGCAGGGATCATGCAGGACGTCGCGGGGGCGACGGGCGATGGCATCATCGACATCTTCAAGGCGTTCCACGCTGCAAGCGAGGCGAAGTTCAGCATCGCAGCGCACGTCGCCATGGCCAGCGGCAGCGAGGACGGCTGTGGAGTGACAGACGATGCGCCATGAAAGGTTCGACGGCGTTCATCCTGAAGGAGATCGCGCTCGACCAGATCATGCAAGACATCCCCGAGGGCGAGCGGAAGCAGGTCTTGGTCGATGCCCACACGACCACGAAGAACTACATCGCGAACATAGGAGACCAGGCGACGGGGAACTCCAAGGCCAAGCTCGACGACAAGGTGAACCTCACTGCGAAGTGGGCCAAGGGTGGTGCTGACGGTCAATCGTGGTGGGCGGCAGCGAACGATGAGAGCGACCTCGACGAGGTGCTGCCGCTGGCGCAGGCCAGAGCGTGCAAGCATGCGTCGGACAGCAACACCGCCGAGAAGAACAATATCCAGGAGCTGCTCAAAGTGTATAAGGAGATGGCCAGCGTGTTCACTCGCGTGCGGATACCCGGCAGCACCAAGGCGGCGAGCGAGGTGATGACGAGTCTGGCGCAGAGCCACATCGAGGGCCTGGTGGTCGCGCTGTTCAGCGCCAAGTACAGCAAAGAGGAGCTGAAGAAGGTGTTCGCTCTCAAGAAGCTCGCGAACCAAGAGGGTGCGAAGTGGGACAAGATGCCGCCGGCGCTCCTGGAACGCGCAATGAAGGCGTCCAAGCTGCAGTGAGGTCGACAGCATGGGAAGTGCTGGAACCGAGGTGGGAGAAAAAGTGGAAATCGTCGTCGTCGTCGTCATCGCCCTTGTCGTCGTCGTCGTCGTCGCCGTCGTCGGTCGCCGTCGCCGTCGTCGGTCGTCGATCGTCGTCGTCGTCGTCGATCGTCGGTCGTCGATCGTCGTCGTCGCCGGCGTCGTCGATCGTCGATCGTCGGTCGTCGATCGTCATCGTCGCCGTCGTCCTAGGGATGGGGGCGGCGCACGCTGGTCCGCAACTTCGGCCTCGTCGCAGGACAGCTGGCCAGCCCGCGGCCCAAGGGAGGATGAGGCATGGAGTTAGGAGGGGGAGGGAAAGGGTGGGGACAGGATGCAGACGGCAGGCGGGAGGGAACGGACGAGCAAGAAAAGCACAGGGAAGAGGGGGGGTGACGTTGGGGGGGATCGGTAGGACGAAGGAGAGATACCCCCTAACCCTGAGATATCCCCTAACCCTGAGATGCCCCCTAACCCATAACCCCAACCCTAACCCTCATACCACCTAACCCTGAGGTATCCCCCCGTAACCCTAATCCTGAGATATCCCCTAACCCTGATATATCCCCCCCCATGACCCGAACCCTCATATCCCCATAACCCTAACCCTGAGATACCCCCTAACCCTGAGATATCCCCCAACCCTGAGATATCCCCTAACCCCCTAACCCATAACCCTAACACTGAGATACCCCCTGACCCTAACCATCATATAACCTCTAACCTGAGATGGCCCCGAACCCCTAACCCTAGGATGACCCCTAACCCGAGGTACCTTAACCTTACCCTCCAGACAACCCCTATAACCCTGAGGGCCCAAGATATACTATCTCTAACCCCAATATAGATTTGACCTTAACCCTAAATGCCCCTAGCCCTGATGGCATGATGGGGAGGAGGAGGAGGAGGAGGAGGAGGAGGAGGAGGAGGAGGAGGAGGAGGAGGAGGAGGAGGAGGGGGAGGAGGATGAGGAGGAGGAAGATGGGGGATAAGGAGGAGAAGGGGGAGGATGTGTTGGAGGATGGTGAGGAGGAGGAAGAGAGGGAACGGGGGGAGAAGGAGGAGGAGGATGAGAAGGAAGTCGCCATGTGTAGCTCGAAACAGGGATGCGCCGTATGGCGCGAACAGCTCGGGTATAGTTGCCCGTGATACTGGTATCGGAGCTGTAGTACGCACCTTCCCTGCTTTGTTGCGCTAGCAACGGCTGCATATTGCTAAGCAACCTTCTTGGTAGCGGATCTTATGCTTGAGCGGCGTGCCGTGGCACACTCGTCCTGTGATAATGATGTCATGTCGGGCGTGCGTGCGCATGAGTGAAACTATAGTATTGGCGCGCGAACGGTTCGCTATGGTGCGCCCAAGCGCATGTGGTCACAAAACAAACAAAAAGCGACGCGGACAAGGAAAACTTGCAGATGGAGAAAAAGGAAGTCTTTGAGGAAAAAACAAGAGCCCTGACATAGCTCCTGCGGATGCCCTGCGGATGCTCTGCGGGTACTTTCGGGCGGGCCTGCGGATGCCTCTGGGGAAGCCTGGCCTGGGAACAAAAACAAACAAAGGGTCCTTGGTATGGCCCTGTAGGAGCCCTGCCCGACACAACGCTGGAGGTGGCCCCCCCTGGCGGTGGTGACGTCGCCTCTGCCTCCTCCCGGAGACGGGGGGGAGAGGAGTGGAAAGGACGGGACCGGCAGAGAGACGAGGGAACTGCTGGACTTACGCTGCAGGTGCTTGCGTCCTGCGGCTTGCCTAAAGAGAGGATTGCTTGAGGAGCCGCGCCTCCGCCTCTTCCAACTTCTCGTCCATCCCTCTCCCTCCCTGCTCCTCACCTTATCTTCCTACCTTGACGGCGTGGGCGACGATAAACGCGGCGAGACAGCGAGGTCCTGTTGCGGCCGTGCATGAACCTGTGAACCTCCTTCATCAGAGCGCCACGGCCAGGGATGCGGTGGATCAGCTCTCCGACTCCCAGGAGGCGGAATCATGGGGAGGGGGAGGGAGAAGTGGTAGCGGGGGGGGATGAGGGATGATGAGGATTAGGAGGTAACGCCTGGAACGGGAGGTCATCGTAGGAACGATGACAGGCGGATGAGCCAGATTAAAACGCCATTAAGCAAGATGAGGCTGGATTCACCGGGGAATTAAGCCGAATTAAGCGGGATTGCGTGAGCCGAGTTAGACGGGATTATGCCAGATTGGCCCGATTCTCGACAACGGATATACCTCATACCAGCGGCGATGCGGAATACCCTCCCACAAGCTGCATCCGAATAAGAGGGAGCGACATGCAAAGAATGACGAGTAGGGGGAGCACGGGACTAAATAGGAAGGAAAACGCCCTCGGGGAATCAATACAATCTGCTCGCTCTCCGTGAAACGGTATGCCAAAGCGGAATCACGTACTTCTCCTACCAGACTCATGTTGATGTTGCAGGACTCCTATTCCCTCCCTGCGTCTCATGTGTGATAAGTGGAGCTTCCCCAGCTTTTCTTCTACCTGTGTCGCGGGTTCCGAGCAATATGTGCTGCGCGGCGAGTGGATGGAGAATAGTGGCGGAGGGCGAACAACCGACCGGGTCCCCATCCAGAACTAGGGAGGGGTGGACGAGACATAACGGCGCCAGGATCAAGCAACGGCAGTGATGTGCTTTGCCCTCGTCGCCGCGAGAGCCAGAGGAGTGAGATGCTGTCAGTCCGCCCTTGCCTTTCTTCCTCCTCCTCCTCCTCCTCCTCCTCCTCCTCCTCTGCGTCCACCTCGTCCCCCTCATCCTCCACCTCTGCCATCCCTCCTGCCATCTTATCCTGTTTCATCCTTACCATCGATCATCTCCCTTCTCTTCCTCCTCCTCCTCCTCCTCCTCCTCCTCCTCCTGCTCCCTTCCTGCCAACCTTCCTCACAATCCGTGACTCAATCATCCCCCTTCTACTTTACCTCCTCCTGCCTTCCGCCTTCGCCATCCCTTCTTCGCACTCTCTAACTCCTCCTCCCCGATCCCCCTCCGCCTGCCCCTCCTCCTGTCCGAAGCACCCACCGGACTGCTACGGGCCGCAGGAGAAGTAGTCGGCGAGAACTTCTTGGGGGTGGGGTGGCGAAGGATTCTTGCTCAGGAGACACTTCTTCAACACTGACGTTCGGCCAAGTTTCGACCCTAGCCAAGCAGAGGAGCAACACACTGATGTCCCCGTGCTGTGACAGTCTTGGAAATGATGCAATCACGCAGTGCTACAACACTGCCGCATTGCTGCAATTTCGCACCGCGATGGTGAACACGCCTGGCAGCACGGCTGGATGGAAGAGGCACACCCCTCCCCTAGAAGAAGAAACGACTGCATAACAAGAAACGTTCAGAGGTTCTCGCGGATGTTTGAATCGGCGCTCGGCTTAACTCTCTGGCGCGCGGAGCGCGCCAGGGGCGGTGCCCGAGGGAGGGGCCCAGCGCAGATCCGAGAAATCCGCGCCGACCACCGAAAATGTATGTTCATGCTGTTTCTTATTCTTCGGTGTCACCCCTCCCGTCCGAAGCGCCGGCAAATGCTGTGGACGTCGACGGGGTAGCCGAGGCCCAGGCACCGGTGCGGCTCGGGGAAGATGCCGTCGTCCAGGACCAGGAACCCGAGTTCGTTCTTGCGTTCGACCCTGAGGCAGAAAACGGGCTGTTCCCTCCTCCTCCCTCTCTGCTGGCTCGGCTGGGCCCCCGAGGTCCGCCGATGCGGCCGCCCCTCCTGGCTCTCCAGAGGCCTCCCAGATGGGGTCGGAGGATCCTCCGAACCCCACCTACCTACCCCGACCCCATCTGTCGGAGGTTGCTCAAGGTGCCCCTGGCCCAACGTGCTCCCAGCTTTTCGCCCAATCTTGGAAGCATCGGGGCCCTGTGGGCCTCGTGTGGGATGCTCTGGAGGGCGTGAGGACCTCCTTGGGATTCCCGGCACCCTGGTTGAAGGCTCGTGCTGGGGACCTTCCTGGAGCTACTCGCTCCAGTCGTGCTGCGAACTTGAGTCGCGCCCGAGTCGAACCTGGGCCGAATCCGAATCAAACCTCGGGGGAGTGCAAACGTGGGCTAGCGATCCGTGGATCTGGCGCGCGGTCGCCCGATCCATGGGTCGGGGGATGTGCCCTCCCCCGAATGCGGCTCGTGCCGCCTGGCCCGGCGGCAAGAATCCACGATCTCCCATGGAAACGGGACCCGTCGCCAATCCACGCCCCCCTAATCCATGCTTGCGATCGCCAGAAATCGGCTCGAGCCGAAACGGCCAGACACCCCCAAGAGGTTGACGGGAGCGGGGCAGGGAAGAGGAGGGGGATGGGGAAGAGGGGCGGTCGGAGGATGGAGGGGGGAGGGGACGAGGGACGGAAGAGAAGAGCAGATGGGAAGACGAGGAGGAGGAGGAGGAGGATGAGGGGAGGAGAAGGAGGAGGAGGAGGAGGATCGAGGGATGGAGATGGATCTCGAACCAGAGTCGCACAGCTCTGCCACGTGGTCCCCAGCAGGGTCCCCCGAAGCGGACCTCTGACCTCGGGGCCAGGGGCAGCGGCCGGGCCGCCCGCCTCGCGCCCTTCGGCGCCCTCGCGCCGCCTCTCCTGGAGAGGGGCAGGACCCTTGAAGGGGCCCTGGGACACACAAGTAAATACACAGAAGTAACAGGATTCCCAATATTTTCCCCATATTTTCAAGGTTTTGGTCTTCCTCCCCACTTCCCATATTTTCCCATATTTTCTGGGGAATCGACGATTGATTGTGTCTGTTGTTTTTCCCTCCTGAACCCTGCCTCTGCTTTAGCTCTCGGGATCCACAGCCCCTCGGTTGCGAGGCAGCCGTAGGGGAGGGGACACAAAAAGGGCACAGTGCTTGGACAGCTGGGAGGAGCTCGTGAACTCAACAGGGGTCGGGATTGAAATGCCTCGAAGAGGGCGCGCCCACCCGAATCGCAATCATTTTGTATATCTGCGGACCGCTGGCATTTCGCTTTCCGTCGTCGTCCCCCTCCTTGCTCCCTGCTCCTCTCTCCACCTCCTGGCTGGGGTCGAAGGAGGCGGCCGCGGCTCCAACGGGGGAGCGCCCCTTTCGTTTTTTATCTTCGGCAGGCCGCTGGGCGCACGCACCCGAAGCGTAAGCAGCCGCCCCTTTCCTCCTCCTCCCCCTTGTTCCTCGCTCTTCGTCTTCGCATCCCCCTTTCCTCCTCCCCCTTTCCTCCTCCCCCTCATTCCTTCCTCTTTCCTCATCCCCTTTTCCCCCTCCCACGCATTCCTCGCTCCACCATCCGTCGTCACACCTTGTCCTCCCTCCTTGCTCCAGGAAAAGGCAAATCGTGGGGCCGCGCTCGCGTTCGCATGGTACTGCCCGTTCGGTATCCGAGCACAGCGAAGCAGCCTAGTAGAGGGCGTGGCCAATGCAAACGTTCGGGGCGCACTCCAAGCGCGGGCGGCGCCGGCCGCCAAGCACAGTCGTAACGCTAACATGTGAAGTTGTTGGTGCCCGCGGCAAGGTCCGCCACCGCGCCAACGCAGCGGTCCGAACGGCGACGCTTGCTTCGAACTATGTTTGTCCAGACGTCCGGGACATGTGACACCTGTCATGTTGTCGGACTGGTGTCAGGCCTCCTTAGGCGATCCCGCGGGGCCCTCCTGGGACGTCGCGGGGTCGTCGGGGGCAGCCTTGGCGCCGCGTTCCACGGTGGTCGCCCTGGGCCAGGGATGCGTGTATTTGCCGTCCCTGGGGGCAGCCATGGCCCAGGGAAGCGTGTATTCGCACTCCCCTTAGCTGGGGACGTCGATTTCGCTTCCTTCGAGGTTGCGATGGTTCACTTTTCCGACATACGCAGATCAAGGTGTGATCTGTGTACACAATTCGTGTCGTAAGCTTTGTAACTGCGCCCGTGAGTCCATCGTTTATACAGATCGTGGCGTGATCTGAGCACACAGATCGTGCCCCCGTCTGCATTTGGAGCGCGCGCCTCGCAGGTGCTGGCGACTGGGCGGGAACATTCGTGCTTCTATGGTTGCTCCAGTTGGGCGAAATACACAAATCGTGTGTCCTGCGCGCTACCGGCTGGAGCGGTGCATGGGTGGGAGTTGCCGCAGATCTCCCTGCTGGTCGCGGAGGGAGCCGTGGTTTAAAAGGACCAAAGGCGCGGGTGCCTGGGGATGATTTGAGCACGACCGTGCGCTGCATGACTAAAGAAGGCTAGAAGTGTCTGATAGCAAGGCTACTCCACTCGCATTGGGATGGAGGCCTTTGCATATCTTGTACCAAGCGCCTGCGGGGGCTTTCTCTCTGCCAACCTTGGGGTCCACAGGGCGACCTGTGCACTCAACTCCGAGCCTGGCGATGCGAGCCCCCGAGGAATAGCGCCTGCAAAGCAAACGAACGACTAGAAGAGAGTTGTTTGAGCAATCAAAAAGAACACATTTGTGGCTCAAATCCCGAAGCCTCTGGACATTGATCCTTGTGATCTCAACACAGTGGCCAGGGGGTGGGCAGGTGTCGCTCGGGCTGCGGTTAGTACGCAAACAGGTCGAACACTGCCAAAACCGTTGTTCCCCACAAGGGAGGCCAAGCCATGTCCACTAGTGTGGGCTGGCGGCAACTGAAGACCGAGAGCGCCCAGGAGGGGACCAGGGGACCTCTTTCAAGTCGGTCCTGGGCCACGACGGGAGCTAATCGGCAGCAGGTCTGACAGTTGTCCTGAAAACCAAAACAACGAAATCGAATTCTTCAAGCGTGGACGCGGCCGCGGACGGGTGCGCCGCCGCTCCAAGCTTGGCAGCCCGATCGGCACGGTCGCTGCCGACTCGCAACATGCGTTCGAGAGGAGAAAGAGTGGGGTCGTCCAAGGCCCGATGCACCTTGACCGTATCGCACCACAACAAAAAATTCCCGCCCAGCGCCCTCCCCTGCATTATCAAACCCGCGCAGGGTCGATCGGGAGCGAAACGGGCGTGCTCAGGCAGGCCGCGCATGCCAACAACGTTGGCGCAGTCGCTGAACAAATGAGTGGGCTGAGAAAAAAACGCGCCACGCACAGCATAAGCAGAAAACTCCCCAGCCTGGGCCGTCGCTGGGCAGCTGTCCCACACGGGACCATATGCCATTGCTAAAAAGTTGCCTCCTGGACCTAAGCTGGCAAGACACCAACCCGCACGGCAAAGGTCCCGAATGCGAGATTTGGGACGGGACTCATCGAGGAAAACGCTGCCCCACAAGAAGCGCGAGCCCTCAGGAGGGCAGGTCCACCCTTCAGCTTCGAAACCCTCAAGAAAATACCCAAACGAAATGCCGCCGAGGCTGTCGTCGCGATCGGCTGTGGTGCGCGTGTGCGCGTGTGCGCGTGTGCGTCCGTGCGTGCGTGTGCGTGTGCGTGTGCGTGTGCGTGTGCGTGTGCGTGTGCGTGTGCGTGTGCGTGTGCGTGTGCGTGTGCGTGTGCGTGTGCGTGTGCGTGTGCGTGTGCGTGTGCGTGTGCGTGTGCGTGTGCGTGTGCGTGTGCGTGTGCGTGTGCGTGTGCGTGTGCGTGTGCGTGTGCGTGTGCGTGTGCGTGTGCGTGTGTGTGTGCGTGTGTGTGTGTGTGTGTGTGGGGGCTACTTCTTGTGTTCGAACAGACCAGAAGCCAAAGCGAACCTAGAGCCAGCTTCAGGATCGCCTCGGACCGCCTCCAAAACTCTGTCGGGCACGATCGCCCCCCTCGCCTCCTCCGCCACGGGACGGCACCACAGGCGACGAAACAGAGTGTCTCCAGGCGCATGGCAAAGAGGACACTCATCGGGAATATCATTTCCTGCAGCTCTCGCACGCGCAAGAGGTCACAGTCTTCGGCAGGTCAAACATCTGATGGTTCCTTTCTGGAGGGGCGTAAACTTCTTGGACCTAAGGGCAGCCGCCACAACATCAAAACAAAACCTCGTGGATCCTTGGCCCCCGTACTTCTGGGCAGCATCCCGCTCGAAACACCTCCAGACCCCCTCCGTCAAGGGTTTCTTGAAGAGGGCGGGAGGGGTGTCGGCGAGGGAATGACGGACCCCGGGGGCGCTAACCAAGAGGAAGGGGGAGGACATGGACCAGCCAATCCTGTCAACCGACAGCCGCATGGCCCCCGCGGGCCCACCCATTTTCCTCCAGGGCCAGGGTCGGTGAAAACTATCGCCCCACATGGAACGCAACTGGGCCCACGAAAAAAAAGTCCGAGGCCCTGGCGTGGCGTCTTTGGCCCAGCGGACAATCGGGGACACCGCGCCAAACCAAGCAGGGCCCCCCTCTAACCGACTCAAGATGGTCAAACTCCTCTACCCCGCGCTGGGTTTCATCGCGGCAGCGCAATGCCGCCGCAATTTGAAAAGTTCACCGTCGCTGCAATCATGTACCCCGCTGCCGTAAGTGGCTCCTGGCAACGGGAACGATACGCAAGGTTTGATAGCCCTGCGTCCTAGTGCAGCTCGCTGGCCTACCAGTCGGCCAACCCGCCGTCTGGCTCGCATCGCTCGAAGTTTGGTGCGGGCGTTGCGCCCGCGAGACCGTGTGGCGCCACCGGCTGCATCGTCGATCCCGAGGTTCACGATGGGCTCTTGAGGCCCCCCCGCCAACTTTCCCAACCTGCATTCCACTGAACGAAAAAGGGACTTGGAGGAGGAGACGAGACAGACCTTGT